CAGAGAAATGGTAGAGGCAGGTAAATGACATTTGAAGTGCTTTCGATGTTTGTCATTAGCCTCCTGTAGGGTTATTTTACTTCTTTCTTCACTTCCAAATTGGTAAATGAGAACTTCATTTTGCAAAGCAGTCATCTGTTGTTCATTACTGCATTACTGACATGTTTTTTGGTTTCAAGTACTTAACAGCCCTTAAGTTTAGAGCCTCTTGACCAGTAGTCAGTACAATACCGAGCTAAGTTATTTGTTGTTTCCAGAAAAAGCTCATTCGTTCCGAGACTTTGCATGAATGGGTAGGTATTTATGTACAGGGAGTTGGGAAGCTGACTTTTTTTTCTGTTCGCCTATGTTTTACATGCTTTGTATGGAAATGTGGAGTTTAATTAGCATGCTAGTAGATATGTTCAAATGTTAGTTACAAGAGCTCGCTTCCACCTTTGCAGTTTGGAGAGGCACAGGGCATTGGTGTCTGAAGGGAAGGGAGCAAGCTATCTTCATTTTGTTAAGATAAAATCAGAGGGGGACAAAGGAAGAGATCTCACGTTCTGCTCCCGTTTCGCATTTAATCTGAACATATTTTCAATATTATCAAGTAGACTTACTACATGGCTCCCTGCCACTTCTGTTTTGTGTGTACAGTTGCTTTGACTATAAATAGTAGCAATAGCTTTCACTGTGCCTTAACTTTCCCATAACAATACTACAGTTATCTCCAATCAAAGGAAGAATAACTGCATCTTACAATGTTCTATTAGAGACAGGCCTTAGACACTAAAACTGATTTTATGCTGAGCACCTCTGTTGATTTACTGTGTGACCACACTTGAGTTAGCTGATTCCTCTCAAATTAATTTAAAGCTAATATAAGAGTAACTCAATTGTTGACTTGCAGAAGGTAGTAATGAAAAAAGCCTCAGAGCTGTAGCTCTCAGTGCTTATTTGGGTCCATAATTCTTAACTGAAAAGGTGTTCAGTCATGGTGCTGTGTCATGCTCTCAAGAAGTTAAGAATACATCCTTAATGTCCTGCTCTTCAAATGGAGAAACAAAACAGTTTACATTTGAGCTTTACTTTGTTTCTATGTTACTTACATAGCTATATCCATGTTCACTAAGAATACTTCCACCTCAAAATAGCTATTTTCCTTTCTGAAGGGGAAAATGTAATTACAAGCAATAGAAGGCCAACTGTCTCAGAAGTAACTAAGTGCTACTTGCCTCCTGAAAAATTAGCTTTTGGGTTTGTGTTTTTTTTGGTGGGGTTGCTTCTTTTTGGAGGAAGGCAGTTTGGTTTCTTTAATCCATGGTCAGTATGCTCTTTCTTAAAATTCTGGTGCCCTAAGAAGCCTGTGTGCTCTTAGCTCCTTAAGAAGGCAAATGTTTTGTGTACATGGACCAGGATACAGAAACAAGATTCAGAAATGCAGAACAATTTTGTCAGTACTGGACTTAACATGGGTCCTCACACTTCCACTAGTGTCTTTGCCTTCCATGAGGTGCCCAACCCTTTGCAAAATTTGACATTAAATTTTCACAGCTTTCTTTCAAAAAATGAAGTCTCCAAACTTTATAGCACTCTTTTGTCCTGTTTCCTTAAGGGAATGAAAGTGTTAAATTTTCATTTGTGTACTATTTTCCTTGACTCCCTTGCTGTTCACCTCACTAATCCAAAGGCATTTGAGCATGGGAAATGTCTGTGCTATCTTGCACTCGCGCACAGCCCATCATCTGTCAGGCACGGGAGATTTGTGTCTGGGATTTGCATCATTATTGTACTGGTAAAGGTTTGGAAGGGAGTTCTCTTCAGTGTGGCACTTCAGCCCTGGAATAGTAAGCTTTTCTAATAAAGAGCTCAGTCAGATGAACTAGTTTAAATATTTTGTTGCTTATACACACATACATGGATCATATGTGTGGACATATGCACAAAGCATTAATATCTATGCTAATAATTGGTTTCTGTGATAGAGTTTTAAGCCATCTTTTGAGGCAGCATAAATCATATTGGTTTAGTTTTAACTATTTATATACAAAATATAAATTTGCCACTTGAGAACTAATGTTAGGAGTCACAAAAGGAACATTTTTGGACTGCTGGTATTGTCACACTTATTTCAAGCGGTGTCACTAAAGTCTTAAATTAGGGAAAACTGTCCAAGTGTATATTCATGTGAAAGCTTAGCATAGTAGTCGATAGATACATTACTAGCTAAGTAGATAGTTTAGTATTTGTTTGCAGATCTGTAGTATGCTAAGAATTCATTTGGTATCCACTAGTCACTAATTTTAAGAGTGCAAGAGTACATATTAGTTTACTTGGGCTTTTTTTTTTTTTTTGCCTTTACTATATTGCTATACTTAGTATTAAAAAAAATCTTCTTCGTTCATCTTTTTTTTTTGTCCTGATATTTTCTTTCCGAAGTATTACCTACTCCATGCAAGAATCTTATGCAGAATTCTAAAATGATATGTTAGCAAACTGTGATGACAGCACCACTGTTACTTTTTTGGTGGTAGAAAATTTGTCAAGCAAACAAAAATATAAATATATTTTAGTTTTTACCAGTTTTCTGAAGGACAACAGAATGTTACCAAAGTTAACGAAATTATAACTTGGTTTGGTTTGGTTTTCTAATTTCTCATAAAGCAGAATAGATGTTTTTATTGTTTCAATAACCAAAACCTGATCTGTTCACTGCAGAGCAATAGAATATGTTTTCTGTAAAACATGCATTTTTAAAATGCATGCAACCTATTTCAGTTTTAAAATCATAGATGAAATTGTCTAATTGTGCTGTTACAATTAAAATGCTAACAAGAATCAGTAACTGCCCAGCTAAAAATCTACTTTGGATGCCTAGAATAATAAGGGGAGAAATATGATAAGTAGTTGTCAATATTAAAGCAGGCTGAAGGAGGAAGGCTTCGGGCCTTGTGGTAGGTAGAATGAAACAGCAGATTTGAGTATCCTCAATCCTTTCAGTATTAAATTTTCAGTAAAATAAAATTACTTGTATATGAAAACATAGCCTTTCCCCAGCTCTCTTTTTTTTCCTGATCAGCTGATGAAGAGACTAGCAGCTCGCTGCTTTGCTGGCTTGTTAATTTTATCCCCACTAACTGTGATTTCCGATAGCCGGCCTGCTGATAGTGGTAAGGTAAATATCCTTTTTCATTGCCGTCTTGAAGATTCACTCGAACTACATCACAGGCATGTGTAGGTGTGTAACACATCAAAAGTCGGTGTTCTCCGTATTTCAGTGTACAACTGAGTGCTTAAGGAGAGCAATGACATTAACTGTTGACAGCCTTGCATGCTGTATTTATTATTAGATTTTCTAGCTTCCAAGATATGCAGAGTAATTTCCTTGTCTTAATCTTTGTTAGCTGCAGTGGTTTATAGTGGGTGTCCTGCTTTAGCCAAATGAATATTAATGAATTTGTGTGCAGATATATTTTTTTTCCTTCTTTTTTCTTCCTAACTCATCAGATCTCAAGCCTCCTTCATAGTGGTTATCTGAATGCTGTGGAAGCATGATGTAAATTGTCTTTTGATTATTAAGGCCTAGTTTCAGGCTGTCCCTCAGGATTGTGCATTCGTGTTTGTTCTGTGGATTTGCACATCGGAGGATGCATAGGAAACAGATACCGAAATCCCACTGGTGTTTTTAACATGCCAGGTTGTTTTGTGTTGTGCATCAGGTTTTCTTCACAAAACGTTTTTCAAGAGACATTGTACACAACTGAGAAAAATTATATCTGGGTTGTAATCACTCTTTTTGTATTGATTGTTATGCTCAAATGATCATAAATATTAGCCATGTTTGGTGCTGTGAAGAAATGAAAGTAATTGCCTTATGATTAGAGCTCTTTCAGCTATGAGAAAGGATTGATTAGCATTTGCATGTACTCGGGGCAATATTGAGAGGCAAAAAGGACAAATACCAACATCAGTTACATTCTAAGAAAGCATTAATCAGAAAGCCTATTTTAATTTTTACTCCTTTTTTAATTTAGCTTTAATTTCAATTCTCTTATGACATGGGTGTTTGGGGGTTTTTGGGTTTTTTTGTTTTTGTTTTTTTGTGGGGGTTTTTTTTGCTTTCCCAAATCAAGAAAAGTTTAGCTTCTTGCTTTATCACATGGAGCTGATAGTCAGTGTATGAACAGGTTCCCTTTATTCCTGGTTTGGTTTTTTGTGGTGATTTTTTTATCATTCTGCGTATTGCTGCTGGGTCTGGTTAAAAGCATACAACGAGGTAATTGAAGCTAGTGTTCATTATTTGTGACTATGTGTGGGGTTTGGTTTTGGTTTTTTCTTTGGGGTTTTTTTTTGCATTCCATGTTATGAGTGCTTTTTAGAATAAAACACTGTACTGTCAGTGCTTCTGCCTATCTGTTGGTTACTGTACCAGAAGAATATGATACATTTTAGAAATGGTCTTTACGCTTTACGCTTAGGCAATTTGGAAGTTGCTTAAACTATTTGGAAGAGAAGTTGAGTCGTTACTGCATGAAGTATCTGTGTGTTGTTTGTGTGCATGAAGAGCTGTGTGTGATCTGACTTTGGGAGCCAAGCGCAGTTTAGACTGTCCTGTTTGAAAACATGCGACATCAAAGTCTGTCTCGCATGGAACTACATACGCCAGAACTGCCACTGAAATGAACAAATGAATGTTTGTTGTACACTTACTGACACAGGACCACAGGCCATTACTGTGTGTGAAAACTGTGAGTTGGCGTGGAATTCAAGGTTCAGATAAAGATGCATCTATTTATATGATAGTGCCATTCTTAGAAGAAATTAATGTTTAGTGTCTCTTTGACTGCCAGTAACTCAATTTCTTGCCGTACTCTTGTTTATAAATAGGATGACTATTTTGACTTGAATTATCTGCATCCTATGGGGTTGCATTTTTCGTTTTTAAATACAGTTTGTTATTTCCTTTTGCAATATTTCTTTTGTTTAAAAATCATACTTTTTGAATTCATGGTTGTCAGGCAATTGAAGACGGAAATTTGGAAGAAATGGAAGAGGAAGTCCGGCTTAAAAAACGGAAGAGACGAAGAAACGTAGATAAAGATTCTGGGAAGGAGGATGGAGAGAAAGCAAAGAAAAGAAGAGGCAGACCTCCTGCAGAGAAGCTGTCACCCAACCCACCCAAACTGACAAAACAAATGAATGCTATCATTGATACTGTGATAAACTACAAGGATAGGTGAGCTTGGAGATGGTCTCCCTCTGTTGCGTGTTCTCTGTTCATATCTATTTCTATGTGTTTTAATGGCTTCATTTTTGTTTTCAGTCTTTAGAATAATTTGCTGAAACAGCATTTCTGAAAAGCCATTCCACTTAGGGTGTATTCCTTTAAGTTTTACTCTTTGTTAAGGTTTTTTTAAAGACCCATCTGATAGGAAGTTATTGAAACACAAATACAAAAAGTAGGCATAGAGCTCCCACTTAGAAATGAATTCATTCATGTCAAGAGGTATACTTCAGAACGTTTATTAGTGATGCAGCATGTGTTAAGGTTGAACTTTGCAAATACATGGCTGCAGATTTATTAATGCAAGTTAACATGAGTCTCACCATGACCTGAAAGACTGCCAGAAAAATGTAGCACTCATAACGTGAGACTCTTAGCTGCCAAAGGAAAAACTGTAGCAATCCTGGTCATAATACGTTGTCTGCAGCTGAGATGGAAGCCTGTTTGTCAAGAAATCCCTATTTTCAGCATAATAAAATGCTAAATAGCTGGACCTTAGGAAAAAATATAGCTTCTAATTTGAAACATCATTTGAAGACTTCTTTTTTTGCAGGTTTTCAAACTGAAAATCATCTGTGCTTCGTGAGGAAGAAATTGAGAATTAGTTAATAACATCTTTGAATCAGACTTGTTTGAGAAACTTGTATTTTTAACTCAAATTCTATTTGCCAAAAGTCAGTAAAGCCTTCTTTTGTACTTATTCCTTCTTTGCTGTACATTCAATTACTTAAATCATATAAGGAACAGTTACAAGCTAAAGGAATATTAAATGCATTCAGAGAAAATCAAGAAGTATTTGCATTAGGTGACCCACACAAGTGTAACAATACAATTTTTGCATGTAAACAACTTTCAGTCTATGATTTCAAAAGGCAAGTTGCACTTCTTCCTTTTTTGCAGCTAGTGTTCTGGGTCTGCCTGTACAAGATTAACTTGGGCAGTATCTGGTGAAGCACACAGAGCTGTGATGCCTGACTCTTTTGGCACAAAACTGTTGAAATGAAGCATTCTGTGATCCATGGGGTCTCTCTAGAGTACATCAAAAAGTTTATTGCATTGGAACAGAATTCACAGCAATTAACATGATGAGCAGGAAGCTGACTACAAACTCAGTGTATTGACCTTGTTTTGACTCTCAACTAACAGAATAGCTGAGAAGGGAAAAGTGTTTAAAGTTCAGTTATTCCAGTCAGGGCTGCAAGGAAGCATCTCTTCATTTTTGACCTCTGGCCTTAAACAGTCTTCTGAAGCCAAGCACTTCTGTGTCAGGGCACCTACTTACCACTTTTAAAGTAGCTCACGAAGTTACTTCCACTAGCCACTAGTAGGGGATAGATACTGATAGTTACTGGGGAAGTTAAAGATTTTTGCCTGTTGCTTGTACCCCAGGAAGTTGATATCTGACTTCTGTCAAACAAGTTAACAACTGTGCTATTGCATAGTGACAAGACATGCTATTCCCTCTCCCAGGAGGCCACATTTATGCAAGACAGAATTGGTTCCCACTTCAAAAAGTATGTGGAGCTAACTTCTGTTAGCAATTTAAAATACCTGTTAAACTGAACTGTTCAGTGCAGTGAAATATGCAGAAGAGTTCCAATTTAGAATCATAGACTACTTTGGGTTGGAAGGGGGACCTTTAAAGGTCATCTAGTCCAGCCCCACTCTGCAATGAGCAGAGACACCTTCAACTAGAGCAGGTTGCTCAGAGCCCCGTCCAACTTGACCTTGAAGAATGTTTCCAGGGATGGGGCATCTACCACCTCTCTGGGCAACCTGGGCCACTGTTTCACCACCCTCATTGTGAAAAACTCCTTCCTTAGATCCAGTCTAAATCTACCCTCTTTTAATTCAAAACTATTACCCCTTGTCCTATCGCAATAGGCCCCGCTAAAGAGTTTGTCCCCATCTTTCTTATAAGCCCCCTGTTAAGTACTTGGAAGGCTGCAATAAGGTGTCCTCCAGAGCCTTCACTTCTCCAGGATGAACAACCCCAACTTTCTCAGCCTGTCCTCACAGGAGAGGTGTTCCATCCCTCTGGTCATTTTGGTGGCCCTCCTCTGGACTGGTTTCAGCAGGTCCATGCCATTCCTGTGCTGATGGCTCTAGAGCTGGATGCAGTACTGGAGGTGGGGTCTCACCAGAGCGGAGTAGAGGGGCAGAATCACCTTCCTCGATCTGCTGGCCATGCTGCTTTGGGTGCAGCCCAGGATATGGTTGGCCTTCTGTGCTACAAGCAGACATTTCCAGCTCCTGTCCAGCTTTTCATCCACCAGTAGCCCCAAGGCCTTCTCGTCAGGTCTGCTCTTGATCCCTTCATCCCCCAGCATATACTGATACTGGGTGTTGCCTCAATCCAGGTGCAGGACCCTGCACTTGGCCTTGTTGAACCTCATGAGGGCCCATTCCTCAAGCTTGTCCACATCCCTCTGGATGGCATCCTGTCCCTCAGGCATGTCAGCTACACCACTCAGCTTAGTGTCATCTGCAAAATCCCTGAGGGTGCACTCAATCCCACTGTCTGTGTCATCGATGAAGATACTAAAGAGTACTGGTCCCAGTACAGACCCCTGAGGGATCCCACTCATCACTGATCTCCCTCTGGACATTGAGCCATTGACCACTACCCTCTGGTTGTGACCATGCAACCAATTCCACATCCACTCAACAGTCAACCCATCAAATACATCTGTCCACAATGTAGAGAGAAGGATGTTGTGGGGGAGTGTGTCAAAGGCCTTACAGAAGTCCAGATAGATGACATTGGTATCTCTTCCCTTGTCCGCTGATGTGGTCACTCCATCCTAGAAGGCCACCAGGTTGGTCAGACAGGACTTGCCCTTGGTGAAGCTGTGCTGGCTGTCCTGAATCCCCTCCCTGTCCTCCATGTGCCTTAGCATAACTTCCAGGAGGATCTGTTCCATGATGTTCCCAGGCACATGGGTGAGGCTGACAGGTCAGTAGTTTCCAGGGTCCTCCTTTCTGCCCTTTTTAAAAATGAGCGCAATGTCTCCCTTTCTCTAGTCACCAGGGATTTCACCTGACTGTCAGAACTTTTGAAATACGATGGAGAGTGCTTTGGCAGGTACGCCAGCCAATTCCCTCAGACCTCTGGGATGCATCTCGTCAGGTCCCATTGGCTATTGACAACTCCCTGAAGAGCTGGAATTCTACTTTCCTGAAATTCACGGTCCTGACTCTACTACTTGGGCCTATGTCTCCCTTTCTCTAGTCACCAGGGATTTCACCTGACTGTCAGAACTTTTGAAATACGATGGAGAGTGACTTGGCAAGTACGTCAGCCAATTCCCTCAGACCTCTGGGATGCATCTCGTCAGGTCCCATTGGCGATTGACAACTCCCCGCTTTCCTGAAATTCACGGTCCTGACTCTACTACTTGGGCCTCTTATGCCTCAGGACTGCAGACTCCACCAGTGCATGATCACTGCACACCAGGCTGCCTCCAAGCTTGACATCACCAATTATCTCACTTGCGTTGGTGACCAGCAGGTCCAGCATGGCATCCCCCCTGGTAGGGCTGTCTATTACCTGGCTTAGAAGTTATCCTTCATGCACTCCAGGAGTCTTCTGGACTGCCTACAGCTCACCGTGCTACTTTTCCAGCAGATGTTGAGGTGGTTGAAGTCCCCCAGCAGGACAAGAGCCTGTGAGCGCGATGCTTCCTGTAGCTGGAGTGAGAAGGCTTCATCAATAGACTCCACTTGATCGGGTGGCCTGTAGTAGACACTAGCCATTAGGTACCCTTTGTTGCCTTGGTCTCTGATTCTTACCCATAAGCTTTCCACCTGCTCATGGCTATTCTTCAGGGACAGCTCTTCATACTCTATCCATTTCTTGATGAAGAGGGCAATGCTTCTGCCCTTCCTTCCTTGTCTGAACAGCCGGTGGCCATCGTCAGCTGCACTGCAGTTGTGGGGTTCATCTCACCAAGTTTCAGTAATGGTAATTAGTTCGTATCTTTCTAGCAGCCCAGTGGCTTCCAACCCCTCCTGTTTGTTGCCCGTGCTGCATGCATTGGTGTAGAGGCATTTCATCTGGACTGGCAGCCATGTCCCCCTCTTAGAGGAAAACCTCTTAGTTCCTTTGAGGCCTTTTGCTGGTGCAACAAGCTGAGGGTCCTCGCTAGCACCGCATTCCGCTAATCTTGGATTATCATTCAACAGCTTCAGAACACAGTTCCTATATTCTGATTTTTTTGTGAGATAGCATAAAACCACCCGATCCTATGAAAGTTGGGACAGAACAGAATTGCAAATCTAGGTATCAGGAAACTTTAGTAACATAAAATCTTTGGAGTTAAGGTTTTTCTAGGGTTTGATGAACATTTGCAGAATTTACAGCTTTAGAATTAAGTGGGTTTTGGGCAGTGGAACCCTTCAGCGTTGTTTGGCGTTCATGTTTGTTCAGCTCAGGGCTTTTGTGTGTGAGAAGGCAATTGGGGCAAGTATAGAGGGACAGGTTAATTGGAAGAAAAGTAGGCCATGAGCTTCATCTGGGGAAAAAAAAAAACGGTTTTTCACATATTTAGTATTTGAACGCTTGAAATCATCCTTGTCTTTAGCTTAAATTTTCAGAGCTAGTAGATGTTTCATCTCTACTTTATGAAAGTCCAGAGGGTCGATCTGGACCACAGAGAGCTGATTGTGTTCCAAAAGGTGGGCAGGTGATAACCATCCAAAATACTACTGGCTTTGACCGGAGTTACTTTGTCAAAACCAATTCTACAATCTTTAGTAAGTTTTGTTGCAGTTAATAAGCCGGCAGGCAAATTAACTTCTGGCAAAAAAACAAGAGAATGCATTGCTAAACTAATAAACCTCTGTGTGCTGTATCTCGTATTTCCCCTTGCTTTTGAGAAGAGCTTCTCTCCGTTCTTGTTAAAATCTTTATTTTTAAAGAAAGTTTTTCCATGGTGTCCACAAAAACCTGGAGTA